AAAAATAAATAAATAAAATAAAAAAACAGAATGTGGATCCTTGCGTGAAATTTAATGCAACGAGCATGAACATTAAGGAAGTTATGAGCAAAAACAGATAACAACAAGCTAAATGCTACACCTAAACACCCATAACTTCCTTACTGCTTGAGATATTCACGTGATTCTGGTTTTATTTTAAAGGATTTTTAATGTTATTTTGTAATCCACTGTCAGATTTGATATTGGTGTGAGATAAAAGTTTTAACCACATCCATACATTTAAACCAATTGCTCAAATCCAATTTAAAATATCGTCTCTTATTAAGCAAAATGTAAACAAGTTGGACTTTTCCCACAATATTTCAGGTTTAAATGCGTGAAATTAAAAAGCTTAACTCGTGATATTCATTATCATAAAATATATATTGTGCCAAATATTACTGAGCAGCATTTTTTTCACTTTACATACATCTTTTTCTTAATTTTGCCACCGTTGACGTCCACTCCAACCAGCTGTTCAATCTCCCGGTGAAACTTCAGCTGTTTCAGGAGCCTGCACTCGCTGCAGCCCAAGTCAGCCACCTGGAACAAAAACAAGCTAAACTGCATTATAAGTTAAATACCAGACAAATAACACACTAATGAAATAATTAGAATCGCCCTCGGTAACAAAAGCAACCGATTCAGAAAACAGTTAAGGTCACAGTTAGCTTCACGCGATAATTAGCTGTTAGCAAACATTCGCTCTTACGATGACTTCATCTGCGAAGTGTTCAAAATAGATTTATTTCAGAACTGTTAAGACAAAACTACCCTTCTGGGTTTGTTCTTCATGACAAAATCGATGACAAACTGGTGTCTTTGCCTGTGCAGCGGCGGGTTGAAGATGGAGCTCATCTTCGGTCTAATGCACCGTCAGAGTTGATTCCACCGGCCGCTAGATGGCGCTGTTTTTCTTTGGAGGTGTATAAAACAACTGGAGTGCTCAGACAGAAACCACGTGACCGTGTGGCCGGCTGGTGAAGCTAAGGGCTAACGCAAAACCAAACATTATTAATTAAAATGTATATACATTTAAGAATAAACATTTTTTTTCTAACAAATGTCTTTATTTATTAACTCTTAATCCATTAGTAGTTTTATACTTTGTATTGGCTAATGTTACTGTATTTTAAATAACATTGTCTTTATTCATTCAAAACAAAAAAGAAAATCTATTTTAAAAAAAAAAGTCATAAATGACATGAAATATTATTATAAG